TAGGTCTTTGTTAATTGATTCTTGAATTTTCTCCATTTTATTTTCAAAGTTTTGATTATCTTTACTATCATTATTCTGAATTCTTTTCCAGATAATTTTCCTATTTCCTCTTCATTTATTTGGACTTCTGTGTTTCTAGTTTGTTCCTTCATTTGTGCAGCCATTCATTTCTCTGCCTTTTCTTTTCTTTTTTTTTAAAGTTATTGTGTTTAAGGTTTCCTTTTCCCAGGCTTGAAGGAAAGTTGAATTATTTCCTTGAAGAAGGTTGACTTCTTTCTTCCTTTTAGTTTCTGCCCTCCTAAGATTCACCCGGTATTTGTGTGAGCTTCGTATAGGGTGAGCTTTGTGTTGAGTTTTCGGTTGCTTGCTTTTCCTCTGACGGGCAGGGCTGAGTGAGGTGGTAAGCCTGTCTGCTGATGGTTGGGTTTGTGTTTTTGTTTTGTTTCTTGTTTAGATGAAGCATTCTGCACAGGGTGCTACTGGTGACTGGGTGATGCTGGGTCTTTTATTTCAGTGGTTTCCTTTGTATGAGTTCCCACTATTTGATACTCCTTAGGGTTAGTTCTCTGGTAGTCTAGGGTCTTGGAGTCAGTGCTCCCACTCCAAAGGCTCAGGGCTTGATCTCTGGTCAGGAATGAAGACCACAAGTGATTTGTTATAGCATTAAGTGAGATTAAAACAAATATCCAAATGAGAAACCAAAGATGAATCCCAGACAAATGCAGTTACAAAATCAGGCAAATAATAGTTAAAATAATGGAATATACACATATACATATACACCTATGAGCAAAGTGAAAACAATCCAACAAAAATAAAGTACAGTACATTGATCCAGTGAACAAAGGAAATAAAAAATTATATTTACCAGTTAAGAATAAAACTAACTTAAGAACAAACTGGAAAACAAAGCTAAAGCAAGGTGCCAAGTGGGGAATAAAGCAGTGAAAACAAAACTAACAAATATGTTGAGAGGAAAGGAAAGAAAGAAAGAATAGATATGCAAAGTTAAATAGGGGTAGGTGAAGAAGATTTATATACGTTAAAGATTAACTGCAAGGGGAAGAGGACAGTAGGAAACGCAAAGGAAAAAATGTAGAAAAATATAATAGGTTTAAAAAATTAAAATTAAAATTATTAAAAATAGAAAAGAGGAAAAAAAGGAAGAAGAAAGAAAAAGGGGGGTGGGGGGAGGAAAACTCCACAGAATTGCAAAAGCCCAGTGTAGAGGCAAAGGTTTATAACAACAATAGAAAATGTGACTGGATATGCACATATACATATACACCCATAAGCAAAATCAAAACAGTCCTACAAAGATAAAGTACAATACATTGACCCAGCGAACAAAGGAAACCAAAAATTATACCTACCAGAACAAAACTAATTAAAGCACAAACTGGGAAACAAAACTAAAGAAAGCTGCCAATTGGGGATAAAGCAATGAAGATAAAACTAACAAATATGTTGAGAGGAATGGAGAGAAAGAAAAGAAAGAAAGAATAGATATGCAAAGTTAAATAGAGGTAGATAAAGAAGATTTATATACGTCAAAGATTAACTGCAAGGGGAAAAGAACAGTAGGAAAAGCAAGCAAAGGAATAAATGTGGAAAAAAATAATAATAGGTTTAAAAAATTAAAAATTAAAATAAAAAAAAAAACCCAGAAAACAAAAAGAGGAAAACTCCACAGAACTGTAAAAGCCAGCGTAAAGGCAGAAGTTTATGACAACAGTACAAAATGTGACTGAGGGAAAAAAAGAAAAAAACTCAAAAGCTTAATTGGATTTCTTAATGCCAATAAAATCAACAACTACAACAGACGGGGGAAAAAGAAAAAGCAAAAAGAAGAATAATAAATGTTTTTCTTGAGTCAGTGCTGTAAGGGTCCTTTCCCACGCTGGGAGTCACAGTCCACCTTACCTCCCTAGGATGCCCTCCAGCACTGTGCTGATATCTGAACCTGCTGTGGGGGCTGCTCAGATTCTCATCTGGTCTTACTCCTGTGTGTTCTTGCCTCCAATGTCCACAGCTATCAGAGCTAGTGCATTTTCTCTTGTGGGCGCTCTCAATGGCCTTTTATACAATCCATAGACACAAAATCTGCTTCGTTGGTTGTGTGGATTTAATCTGCAGCTTGTATATCTGGTGGGAAGGTTTTGAATCTTCTTTCTTAGCCTCACTGCCCCTGGGTTTCAGTTGTGGTTTTATTTCCACCTCTGCATGTGGTTCGTCCAGTGGGGTTTGCTCCTGAGGCTGCCCTGGAGGACTTGGGTTTTCCCCAGTGAGGGCCAGGTGTGGAGGTGGTGTGGCTGCTTGGGTCGCAGGGGTTCTGGCAGCACCAGGTACTCAGGGGGGGTTGGCGGCTAGGGCAGCAGGAAATGTAGTGCTCTAGAAGGGATGGCAAGTAGTCTTAGCCAATACACTCCAGTATTCTTGTTTGGAGAACCCTCTCTCTGACAGAGAAGCCTGGCAGGCCACAGCCTACAGGGTAGCAAAGAGTCGGACACGACCGAAGCGACCCTGCGTGCATAAATGCAAGACTACTTTTTTTTGACTGTGGCATTTCTGCCCCAGTGAGAGTTGAGCGTGAACATGGTGCAGCTGCTTGGGTTTGGGGGACCCTGGTGGCGCCAAATGTGCAGGGACACAGACTGCTTCCACTGCAGGAGATATGGCCCTACCAGAGTCTTTTTCGAGCCTCTTGTAGCTGGTGCTCAGAAGGGCTCTGTGGCCCGTCTTTCTTCCCAGCTCCACCCATTTAGGCACTTAGAGGGGTCCTTCTCTGTTGTTCGCTGTCAGGCACATAGAGGGCCCCCTGGCTGGGGTCGTACTCTGTAGATTGGCACATGGGACACGTAAAGGGGCACCCTGGGTGGGCTCCTACTCTGTAGTTTGGCGCATCAGTCACTGAAAGGAGCACCCTGGATGGGGTCCTACTCTGTAGTTCAGTGCAGTCAGGCGTTTGATGAGCCAGCCTCTCTTGTTCAGATGCCGATGCTGGCATGTGGGGAGAGAGAGGCTATGGTGATGCCTCCACCCCATATATATGACTTAGCAGTATTGCCTTGCTTCCATGGTTGCCTGGCTTTCTGCTACCAGCATTTCCCACCACTATCTCCTCCCTCACATCCCATCAATCCGTCTCTCTGCAGTCAACAGCAGCCCTCACCCTGAGATTGCTCCACAATCCCTAAACTCCAGCTCCCAGCAGCTGCCCCTTCCAGGAGACCAGCATTCCTGCCCAGGGTATGTATGGCTGTGGCAAGGACTGTCTGATTCTCATTCCATTTAGGCTGCCACAGATCAGCTGTTTCACTCTCAGCCTTAAATGTTTCTCCTCTGACTCAGACCTGATGTGGGGTCTGACCCCTGCTTCAGTTCCCCCACCCACCAGAGGCAGGTCCAGTCCTACTAACACTCCTGTTTCCCCCCGAGTTCCTTCATCCTACTGAGTTTTCTGTGGTTCTGTATATTCTTTTCCACTGGTTGGGTACTCCTGTCCACTCTCAGCTGGTGTTCTGCATGCACTTCTGTGTCTGAAGGTGTGTTCTTGATGTATCCGTGGAGAGAGATGTACTCCACGTCCACCTACCCCTCCGCCACCTTGTTCTCCCTTGACACTGCAGCTTTTCAAGGGCAGCATAGGGTAGTCAGGAGAAACAAGCAATGGGGCAGTGGAGTCAAAGGTGGGGAGAAAGCCTAGTGCCTTGTCTGGGAAGCCTGAAAGTGTTTCAGGAGAGATGAAATGTGAAGTGTCAGGAAAGATGCACCTTTGAATGAGGCACTGTGGAGGCTTGATGAGCCTATTTCAGTGGACTGTGGAGGAGGAGAAAAGGGCCTGAAATGGGGAGTATTGACAAAAGTATTCTAGAACTTTTGCTGTAAAGTGAAAAAGAGAAATGAGACACTAGCTTAAAGATGTAGAGTCCAGAGAGGAGAAGAGATGGTGATGGGACTTTATTTTTTTCAGATGGTTTCCATATTCACAGTGAAATATTAATACAATGTGAAGCATCAACTAAGAGTGAGGATGAAGAGAATGCTGTACAGGTGTTAGGAAAAGGGAGAATTCCACTTGGACCTTGCTATTCAGAGCGTGGCCCCTACCAAGATTGAATTCAGCATCACCTGGGACTAGCTAGAAATGCAGAATCTCAGGCCTCACCCCAGATCCAGGGAATTCGATTTGTTCCTTACTATTTCCCAGGTGATTGATGTGCACTAATCCAGGAAACAGGAAAATGAAAGGACTTGAGAGGAAGACAGTGCAGGACAGGGCCTTGTGTTTGTAGACAGGGGACAGCTCATCATCGGTGTGTGTTTTCCCCAGCCCCTTGCAGCCACAGAGGCAGGCAGAGAGTAGAGGGGTGGGTGTTTCCCAGTACTGGTGGCTTGCCAGGCATATAAGCAGGTTGGGAACAGTACATCAGTTGAAGGAGACATGTGAGTGGATGACTGGGGAGTCTGGGAACCTAAGCTGCTCAAAGAGAGTATGTAGGTGCAGGAACACAACTCTGCTTAGAAATCCTCTGGAAAGCTGGTTGAAAATGCAATCCTAGAAGGCATGCCAGACCAGCTATTCTGAGTCTTTAGAAATCTAAATTCTAACACATCCCTCAGGATTTCCAAAGAGGTGCCATTGGGTCACACTTTGTGAGATACTTACCCAGACTCTCAGATCTTCAGATCTTCACAGCCAGATGACAGCAAGAATCAAATCATGGTGCCAGCAGCTTGGGGACTTGAGAATATCCATTAATCTGTGTTATTTCTGATGTGAATATGATGGTTCATTATATTAGAAGATTCATTAGATAACATTAATATCTGTAAAACTGCTATAAGAAATGATGCTTTCTAGACAGTGTCATACTCTTTTCAATGGAACTTCATGAAATTCTATAAATATCTAAAGACAGGGAATAAAAATTGAATCTAGGTGGCATAACTATGCATTTCTCATATGTGCCTGTGACTTGATATTCTGTTCCCCACAGCAAAGGATGGTGATTACTGGAGATTGCTCGTTCCTGGAAACTATAAACTTACAGCCTCAGCACCAGGCTATCTGGCAATAGCAAAGAAAGTTGCAGTTCCGTATAGTCCTGCTGTCAGGGTAAGTGATTGTGATAATAGCTAAAATTTATTAAGCACTTACCATGGGTCAGGCATATTTAAATCATTATATTTAGCTTTCCTAATAACTCTATGACGTAGAATTATTACCCTGTTGTCCATCTGTTAAGAGATGAGAAAACTGAGGCCTCGAAAAATTAAGTGACTTGCCCAAAGACTCAGTGTTTAATTTAATACCACTCAGTGTGAAACTCTGTTACCATTTCTCGTTTTCTGAGGATATCCACAAAAAAATTAAATAAAACTTTAAAAAATTAAGCTTTTATTTGCTGATCTTGATTTACATCTAAATAATGTTCTGTTTATCTTTTTATCCCTAACAGCTAGTATCATACCTTATCAATAAATATTTTGAAAAATAAATTAGGCCTACAACATAATTTTAGGGGCTAAACATCTATTAAGCACATACTATGAGCAAAGTCAGGTCTCTATGATAAGAACTATAAAAAATGATACCTATTTAAGTAGATGCCATTTATTGGTATTTTATTAGTAAAGGTGATGGTGATGAGACCAAAATTTTCATAGAGCATGATTTTACTATTATCCTTGTAATATATTACTATGGAATGGCGTACAGGATTTCCAATTGAAAGCCTTACTTGAAAAGAATTTATTGTATTTTTGGTTATATACCCAAAGTTTGGAGTATAAATGCTTGGTTTTGCAAGCTAAATATCTTGGGTTTTTAAGTGGTCCTTTGGTTTTTATTGTATATGTTTACTAGGCTGAATATGTATTAAAATCAGGAGGTAAATCTGAACAAATAAATCCTGGAAAAATGTGCCTTCAGAGTCAGGTTATAAAAGATTTCAACTATTTTGACCCTTGGCCTTTCTGCTATGTGTTAATTCAAGGAGGTATTGAGTATTCACACTGTTAAATAACCATAGGCTTGAATGGCCAAATAAAAGAGCTCTTAGCTCCATGTGGAATGGAGCAGGGCTATTTCATGGGTCAAAAAGAGGTTGCATATTTTAAATAGTCCTTTGTGGAGAAATGTATGAATTCTCCATAGACCTAATGAGGATGCCCAGTCTATAGGAGAGTTGAGCTCCTGGGTTACTGATCTTCATGGTGGTTTGGAGCTGTGTGTATTTCCTTCAGTTCTTTCACAGATTCAAGATTCTGGAAAACAGAACCCTGTAAAAGCTATGTGTGGGTTTTTTTTTTTTTTTTATTAGAAGATAATTACTTTACAATATTGTGATGGTTTCTGCCATACATCAGTATTAATCAGCCATAGACAGAGTGAAGTAAGTTAAAAAGAGAAAGACAATATTAATGCACATACATGGAATCTAGAAAGACAGGACTGATAATCCTGCAGGCAGGGCAGCAAAGGAGACGCAGGCGTGAATAACAGACATTTGGACGCAGTGAGAGAGGAGACAGTGGGGTGATGTGAGAGAAGTTACATCTTTTTATGGGAGGAAAGACTGTCTTTAAATAACCTGCCTATAAATAATCTGCTTTCCAACAATCCTGTGCACGCACATGTGCTAAATTGCTTCAGTCATGTCCGATTCTTTGAGACCCTATTAGATCAAAGCACATTTCAAACATAATGACTTTTCCCCTAACTATTCTTTTTCCCTAAAAGTATCCTTTTGGTTATCACAAGAGATTTTTTAGGATTTACTTTAATTTAGATGGCTAGATTGAGCTTATTCTAATAAACTCTAAACCTGCTCTTCATTTTTAATTTTAGTTTTTATAAGTACATAATCAATTTGATAATGATATATTATTATTTTCTCCGTTAGGTTGATTTTGAACTGGAGTCATTTTCTGAAAGGAAAGAAGAAGAGAAGGAAGAATTAATGGAATGGTGGAAGATGATGTCAGAAACTTTAAATTTTTAAGAAGGCTTCTAATTAATTGCTTTTAATCTATATAATGTATGTAGTATGATGTAATGTGGCCATTTTCTTTTAGATTTTGTGCAGTTAATATTTAACATTGATTTATTTTTTGATCATTTAAATATTAATAAACATTACTTAAAATAGACTCTTAGGTTAAAATATAAGAACATGGTCTATAACTTTCTTTTTCCTATATATGTGATACAGAGGACTGTAGAAGAAATTTAAGTGATTTTGCCATTTTAGGCTTAGATACAATATTCCATGTGTTATTTACAGTACAGAACTTTTTGAGTAATTCTAGCTTTTAAAAATTAGTGAGTCCACTTATGGTTGCCATAGGGGAAGAAGAGATAGGGAGTCTGCGATCAGCATGTACACACTGCTGTATTTAAAATGGATAACCAACAAGGTCCTACTGTGTAGTACAGAGAACTTTGCTTAGTGTTATCTGGCAGCCTGGAGGGGAGGGATATTTGGGAGAGAATGGATACATGTATATACATGATTGAGTCCCTTTGCCATACACCCAAAACTGTCACAACATTGGTAATCGGCTGTACTCTAAAATAAAGTAAAAAACTTTAAAAATCCTAGGAAAAAAAAAGTAAGGAAAATGTATTTGAAAAAGTATCTGTGCAATGGATAGAGGGGGAGAATAAACAAGGGGTACTTTTGACATGATAAAAGCTAAAAGCAAAAAAAAAAAGAAAAAGAAAAAATAGTGAGTCCTTTTAATTAATGTATTTGGTGAGAGTGTCACATAATGAATGCCATTGGAAAGGTCAACAGCTACAGCTTGAGTTGTGAACACTATACTGCAAGACTTAAACAGTCCTATATTAATCATCATTGTGTATTGTACTGTCTAGCTATAGGAGTATGATCTTGTTAACGCATTCTTGATGGGAATAAAATGTAAATGTTTAGTGAAAAGTTTTACGAAAGAAGTGGAAATTGATTTCTTGCTGTATACATTGGCGCAATAGTGTTATATTATTCAATGTGCTAACACTACTTCAAAGTGTAGGGTTTCTCTTGGTTGTAGATTGTCCCAGAATTGCATTCTGAATGAATAAAGATTTTAAAAAATCCCTACGGTATGTATTTTAATTCTCTATTATTTTTGGTCTACAGTTTTGATCTTGTGATAAAAAACGTATTCCCTTGAGAGCATCCTCTCATTGATTCATCTTCTATAATTTTAAATTTATTAAATGACTGCTGTATGCCAAGCACAGTGCAAGCACTGCACTGCATGCACTGTGTATATTATTTTGGTGGACAAAATGTGATTCCATTGATCAGGTGTGGACATAAACTTTAAATACATATACACAAAAATGAATATGTAATTAAGCATTGTGATGAGTAAAGTGATAGGAAGGATAGTGTGTGGATAAAAAGAAATTGCAGAACAACTTGCTTTAGACTAGATTCAGGGATGGCCTCTCAATGCAAGTTAAGCCCATACTTAGACTATGAGTTCAGTTCGGTCAGTTCAGTTGCTCAGTCGTGTCCGACTCTTTGCAACCCCATGGACTGCAGCACACCAGGCCTCCCTGTCCATCACAAACTCCAGGAGTTTACTCAAACTCATGTCCATTGAGTCGGTGATGCCATCCAACCATCTTATCCTCTGTCATCCCCTTCACCTCCTGCATTCAATCTTTCCCAGCATCAGGGTCTTTTCAAATGAGTCAGTTCTTCACATCAGGTGGCCGAAGTACTGGAGTTTCAGCTTCAGCATCTGTTCTTCCAATGAATATTTAGGACTGATTTCCTTTAGGATAGACTGGTTGGATCTCCCTGCAGTCCCAGGGACTCTCAAGAGTCTTCTCCAACGCCACAATTCAAAGACATCAGTTCTTCCGCCGTCAGCTTTCTTTATAGTCCAACTCTCACATCCATACATAACTACTAGAAAAATCATAGCTTTGGCTAGACAGACCTTTGTTGGCAAACTAATGTCTCTGCTTTTTAATAAGCTGTCTAGGTTGATCATAACTTTTCCTCCAAAGAGCAAGTATCTTTTAATCTTATGACTGCAGTCACCATCTACAGTGATTTTGGAGCCCCCAAAATAAAGTCTGTCACTGTTTCCACTGTTTCTCCATCGATTTGCCATGAAGTGATGGGACCAGATGTCATGATCTTAGTTTTCTGAATGTTGAGCTTTAAGCCAACTTTTTCACTCTCCTCTTTCACTTTCATCAAGAGGCTCTTTAGTTCTTTGCTTTCTGCCATAAGAGTGGTGTCATCTGCATATCTGAGGTTATTGATATTTCTCCCAGCAATCTTGATTCCAGCTTGTGTTTCATCCCGTCCAGCATCTCTCATGATGTATCTTGCACATAAGTTAAATAATCTGGGTGATAATATACAGCCCTGATGTACTTCTTTTCCTATTTGGAGTCAGTCTGTTGTTCCATATCCAGTTCTAACTGTTGCTTCCTGACCTGCATACAGATTTCTTAAGAGGCAGGTCAGGTGGTCTGGTATTCCCATCTCTTGAAGAATTCTCCACAGTTTGTTGTTATCCACACAGTCAAAGGCTTTGGTGTAGTCAGTAAAGCAGGAGTAGATGTTTTTCTGTAACTCTCTTGCTTTTTCAATGATCCAACGGATGTTGGTAATTTGATCTCTGGTTCCTCTGCCTTTTCTAAATCCAGTTTGAGTATGTGGAAGTTCACGGTTCATGTACTGTTGAAGCCTGGCTTGGAGAATTTTGAGCATTACTTTGGTAGCATGCGAGATAAATAGAATTATGCAGTAATTTAGGCATTCTTTGGCATTGCCTATCTTTGGGATTGGAATGAAACTGACCTTTTCCAGTCCTGTGGCCATTGCTGATTTTTCGAAATTTGCTAGCATATTGAGTGCAGCACTTTCACAGTATCATCTTTCAGGATTTGTAATAGCTCAACTGGAATTCCATCACCTCCACTATCTTTGTTTGTAGTGATGTTTCTTAAGACCTTCTTGACTTCGCATTCCAGGACATCTGGATCTAGGTGAGTGATCACACCATTGTGATCATCTGGGTCATGAAGATCTTTTTTTTGTATAGTTCTGTGTATTCTTGCCACCTCTTCTTAATATCTTCTACTTCTGTTAGGTCCATACCATTTCTGTCCTTTATTGTGCCCATCTCTGCATGAAAATTTCCCTTAGTATCTCTAATTTTTATGAAGAGATCTCTGGTCTTTCCCATTCTATTGTTTTCCTCTATTTCTTTGCATTGATCACTGAGGAAGGCTTTCTTATCTCTCCTTGCTATTCGTTGGAACTCTGAATTCAAATGGGTAAATCTTTCCTTTTTTCCTTTGCCTTTCACTTCTCTTTTTTCATAGTGGCTTGTAAGGCCTCTTCAGACAACATTTTGCCTTTTTACATTTCCTTTTCTTGGAGATGATCTTGATCCCTGCCTCCTATACAATGTCACGAACCTCTGTCCAGAGTTCTTCAGGCCCTCTGTCTATCAGATCTAATACCTTGAATCATTTATCACTTCCACTGTATAGTCCTAAGGGATTTGATTTAGGTCATACCTGAATGGTCTAGTGGTTTTCCCTACTTTCTTCAATTTCAGCCTGAATTTGGCAATAAGGATTTCATGATCTGAGCCACAGTCAGGTCAAAGTCTTGTTTTTGCTGACTGTATAGAACTTCTCCATCTTTGGCTGCAAAGAATATAATCAATCTGATTTCAGTGTTGGCCATCTGGTGATGTCCATGTGTAGAGTCTTCTCTTGCGTTGTTGGAAGAGGGTGTTTCCTGTGACCAGTGTGTTCTCTTGGCCAAACTCTGTGAGCCTTTGCCTTGCTTCATTCTGTACTCCAAGGCCAAATTTGCTCCTTACTCCAGGTATTTCTTGACTTTCTTCTTTTGCATTCCAGTCCCCTATAATGAAAGACATCTTTTTTTGGTGTTAGTTCTGGAAGGTCTTGCAGGTCTTCATAGAACCATTCTACTTCAGCTTCTTCAGCATTATTTGTTGGGGCATATTGAACTACTGTGATATTTAATGGTGTGCCTTTGAAATGAACAGAGATCATTCTGTCGTTTTTGAGAGTGCATCCGAATACTGCATTTCAGACTCTTGTTGAGTATGATAGCCAGTGCATTTCTTCTAAGGGATTCTTGCCCAAAGTAGTAGATATAATGGTCATCTGAGTTAAATTCACCCATTCCCGTCCATTTTAGTTTTCTGATTCCTAAAATGTCGATGTTCACTTTTACCATCTCCTGTTTGACCACTTCCAATTTGCCTTGATTCATGGACCTAACATTCCAGGTTCCTATGCAAAATTACTCTTTACAGCATTGTCGGACTTTACTTCCATCACCAGTCACATCCATAACTGGGTGCTGTTTTTGCTTTGACTCTGTCTCTTCATTCTTTTTGGAGTTAGTTCTCCATTGATCTCCAGTAGCATATTGGGCTCCTACCGACTGTGAGTATGTGTGAGCAATGCAGAGTTACTGAGCATGCATTTGTATGTATGGTGGCGGTGATATGGTTGAGCAATGCTTCAGGTTGATGTTGTTGTTCAGTCACTAATTGGCATCTGACTCTTTGTGATCCCATGGACTGCAATCCACCAGGCTTCCCTGACCTTCACCATCTCCCAGAACTTGATCAAACTCATGTCCATTGAGACGGTAATGCCGTCCAATCATCTGATCCTCTGTTGCCCTCTTCTCCTCCTGCATTCAATCTTTCACAGCATCAGGATCTTTTACAATGAGTTGTCTCTTCATAGGAGGTGGAAAAGTATTAGAATTTCAACTGCATCATCAGTCCTTCCAACAAATATTCAGGGTTGATTTCCTTTAGGATTCACTCGTTTGATCTCCTTGCAGTTCAAGGGACTCTCAAGAGTCTTCTTCAACACCACAGTTCAAAAACATCAATTCTTCAGCACTCAACTTTCTTTATAGTCTGACTCTCACGTCCATACCTGACTACTGGAAAAACCGTAGCTTTGACTATA